ACCAAAAATCATTCAACCGGAAAACCCGTGCAATATGCGCAAGGACTTGAGCTATAGATCAATCCTGTAAAGTTTCATTGAAATTGCATTAGTGGTATAAGAGAAGTAGTCCGGACAAAACTTAAAAATTAAAAATTATTAAAGGGCCATAACTCTGACAAAAATCATTGAACCGGAAAATGCTGACAATATGCACAACTAGACTTGGTACTGATCATTCCTGTAAAGTTTGGATAAAATTGCACCAGTAGTTTATGAGGAGTAGTCCGGACAAGTTTTGTGACGGACGGACGGACAGACAGACAGACAGACAGACAGACGGACAGAAAGACGACGGAGAAGTGATCCCTATATGTCCCCACTACTCCGTGGAGGCGACACAAAAATGATGCAAAATTGAAAAGCCTTGCAACGCTGTTCACTCAAACCGGACTTAGAATAGTGCAAAAATATGACTTTTAAATTCATTTTTTGGATATATTTCTTAATTATCTTTTGTATATCTTTCTGTTTCAAGTGTCCAAACTGATCTTCATAAGAAATAGACCTACCCCGGAATTAAGAATGTTTGGGTTTTTCCCAGCTAATCCAGGGGTACAAACAAACTTTTGCAGTTACAGCTTCGAAATTAAGTGTAACAGGACTGATAATGCACCATGAAGCTATAACTGTAAAAGTTTGTTTGTACTGGAGACATAGCATGGAAAAGCCCACATTTACGAGTTCCGGATAACATCTATTCAAACTTTATGTTTTAAGTCTTTTGAACCTCAGTGGAGTCCCTTTAATGAACTTGACCCTCTGGTATGGAAGCAGGGTCCTAATTACCTTTTGGAGGCAGTGGCCAAGGGCCTGCAGATTGGGGGAATTTTTTGTTGTTTTAAATTAAAAAAAATTTTAATTGGGAAAAATATACATTGTATATGAAACTGGGAGTAAATTTGTGCCAAATCTGACAGGGCCCCAAAACTTATGTTAAGAGGGCCGTATAGAGTGGCTAATTTCTTGTCACACAGACCAAGTTAAGGTCATATTCTGCGTATGATCGAGTTAAAACTTAGAACAAAAAGAAGGAAGAAAATACTTAAAATCTATTTCCAACTTTACTATTGACCAAGATACAATTTTTGGTGTATAAAATATGGAAAACCATCTTATTATGATACAAGACAAAAAATATGAAGACATATTACCTGTCAGATGAGAGTAGAAATTTACAGATATTCAGCATTGTGTTCACAACAAAACTGTATCTACTAGCCCCTTGTTTATTCAGCTGATCTATCAATGCCTGTTCTATAGGGATTGTCCTAAAAAATAAACAGTAATCAAACATTACAAAATTGATAATTGTTAGCTTTAACTACGAACACATGCAATGTATTTGCCCTATGAGCACTTCGTCAAAAGTAGGTGCTGTAACAAAATGCCGTTTATACTTCCATCTTGTTACAGTGCTAGAGTAGATCATACCATTAATTTTCCATAAGCTAGCTTGATAACCTACCTCAAAAGATAGAATTCAATATCATATACAGTAAAACTTTGTTCACTTGAACTAGAATTGTTTCGAATACATCCCTTTGCTTGAATTAACTGTACAATCCCAGTAAAGTCGTTAAATAATATTTGAGCCGCGTCATGCCAAAACCAACATAGTGCGTTTGCGACCAGCATGGATCCAGATCAGCCTGCGCATCCGCGCAGTCTGATCAGGATCTATGCTGTTCGCTATCAGTTTCTCTACTTGTAATAGAGTTGGAAAGCGAACAGTATGGATCCTGATCAGACTGCGTGGATGCGCAGGCTGGTCTGGATCCATGCTGGTCGCAAACCCATTATGTTGGTTTTGTCATGACGCGGCTCATTTATTGTTCTGCAATGGTTCATTAAAATACTGATGTCTTGAACTCTCGAACCTGATCTCTAGTCCCTTCAGCAGTAATATAGTGAAATAGCATCTTTTGGTCAGTCACAAAAAGACATCTTTCAGACTCTCGAAGAAATTCTTTGAGCTCTCAGACTTTGAGTGAACAAAGGATTTGCCATTCTATAAATTTGGTACACTCCATTCAAAGTTTAATAAAGTGATGACAATATAAAAATATATAAAATTAAGCTAGCAACAGTTGGTAAGTCTGCACTGCCTCACTGCTGTGGGTTTGAATCCAGACAGGGACTTTGGATTCTTTCATGTGAGGAAGCTACTTCATGTGAGGAAGCTACCCAGCTAACTTACGAAAAATAGGTGATTCTACTCAGGTTCTTGTTCATACCTGAAACAATGCACTGACAACCCCTGAGGTCTTCCTCCATCAGAAAAGCTGGAAAGTAACCATATGACTTATACTTTCTTGGTGTGACATAAAACCCAACAAAAAAATGTCCAGACTGACCAGGTTCGATCCTTGTGGCAAAGGCTTATCAATTTCAAGCTTAATAAATAAAACAACAGTTATTTTATAACAAAAGTTTGAATGATAATATCTTACTTGGCATTTTCCAGGAAGCTCCCCATGAATGCTGGATCCCACATGAGGTTAGAGGCAGATGGCTTGATATCAGCATATAATGTTACTCGTATCTTAGAGTAGGCATTACTAAACATCTCTTGGAACTTGTTCTGTAAAAAAAAAAATATGGTAAAATAAGGTTCAGCTTAACCACAGATTATTTCCTAACCAATTCAATTACTGAAAGTCTTCATTGCATAGATATGTTCTGACAAGTTGTTCATGACATGTTTCACAAAGATGCTGGAATGTAAAATAATTAAAGGAGCTCCACTGATGTCCAAAATGCTTAAAAAACGAACAAAAAATTTGAATACTGTGGCATTTAAACTGAAAAGATACGCAAAAGATAATTAAGAAATATACTCAGAAATAAATTAGAAACATATTTTTGTGCTATTTTAGCCTGATTTATGCTTTTCAATTTTCTGTCTGTTTTTTCCAAAGAATGATTAGTTTTGGAAAAACAGAGTAAGCAAATGATCTGTAATTTTGCTAAGACCTACATGAAATGGAATATTCATTTCAAAAATCATTTCCCTTCCTGTCATGTCATATAACCTTAGTAAAGTCCCTTTAATATTAAGAAAATTAATTTTGCTTGATGAGTTTAAAGTCACAAAGGTACTATGAAGGCCGTAGGGTAGCTTAATTACCCTTGAGACAGCTAAAATAAAGGGAGATATTTTACATTGAGAGGCTGAATAAAGAGAGATAATTAAACTTGATATAGCTTAAACAAATGGAGATAATTAAACTTGATATAGCTTAAACAAATGGAGATAATTAAACTTGATATAGCTTAAACAAATGGAGATAATTAAATTTGATAAAGCTTAAACAAATGGAGATAATCAAACATCAGAGATGCACAACAAAGGGAGATAATTCACCTTGAGATAGCTACAGGACGTGTAGACATCATACAGGTATGCCAGGATACATCTCTCTGCTGATGAACAGTCGGCTGGGTTACATACATGCTTCACCACACCAATCAGACTGAAAAACATTATATATAATATAACATTTTTAATATTTTATTCTGACCTTATCAATATTATTCACCATTGGCATTGAAACTTTATCAATAAGAAGTTAAGATTTCTATGCACATACGTTGTATATGTACTGTCTTCATTTGTTCTTATTGAAAAGCATTTCTGGTGGACATAGAATAACAAAATCATCATGCATAGGTACCTTTAAAACAGACATAGTCAAAATAGAAAGGATGTCACTTTTATCTGTTTAAACGTGTACAGTCAGTTTTTAGCTAAAGACCGTATAGAAAATTCAACAACCGGTATCTGAGGTTAGTATTTGTCAAAGAGGAGAAAAAGTTTTAAATTGATATTAAACATATAACAAGATATGACAATTTGTTTGTATTTTGGTTGCACTTAACAATGTATTTTTTCCCCGATCTTATCGAGTACGATATGACCCTAACAGAAAATATTCACTCCATATTGTAATGATTTTGAGTACAAGAAACGCAAACGAAATGTCATATCTTGTCATAAGAAACAAAGTTAAATTCAAAAATCTAAGCATTTTATTTGTGTGGTCTGTTAAACGTTTAACACGGTTATCTGGTGTCCGTTTAAACTGTTATCATTTTTTCTTACCCTGACACCGCTACTAAATAGACAAATAACTTCTACATGACCAAAATTGGCTATGACAATATGGATGTATATCTCAACTGCATATTCTTGAAGACGGTATGTACCTTTTAACGGTCCAATTGATAAAAATGAGCCGCGTCACGACAAAACAAACATAATGGGTTTGCGACCAGCATGGATGCAGACCAGCCTGCGCATCCACGCAGTCTGATCAGGATCCATGCTGTTCACTATTAGTTTCTTTACTTGTTATAGGGTCTGTAAGCAAACAGCATGGATCCTGATCAGACTGCGCGGATGCTGGTCGCAAACCCATTATGTTAGTTTTGTCATGGCACGGCTCAAATACATTATTACTTGTTACATACCCTTCAAATGCCTGAAATGTGAGATCTTCGGAGACTAGCAGGAAGGAATGATATTTCCTGAAGATAGCTACAATACACAGACACAGTGATGTTGTGTAGATGCCAGATAAGTTAGAGTTACTGGCAGACAGCTGGCTTTCCACTATACTCAAATCTTTCAGAAGCTGAAATGATCATAAAAAAATTAAACAGATTTTAGAAAATTTTGGAATTTTGAAACAAAATCATAAAAGACCTAACTTTGGGGGTGTGGGGGGGTGGAAATATGATAACTATTATTTTTAACATTTTTTTAACCATTTTGCAGACAGAGGTGTTTTTGCCTTGGAACATTCTAAGAAGTTATGTTCGTTGTTTAGTTAAGCACCAGCACTGTTAAGGTCATATGGTGACTTTCCAGCTTTTCTATGCTCAAACTAAGTCAAAACTTTACATGCAATATTTCAAACAGCAGAAATTAAAAGTAAGCTTTTATAAACATGAGAAAATTCAAACAGTGTGAAACTGATATACCAATATTCAGGATGACAGAAAGATTTTTCTCTCAAACATAGTCATATTTAATATGTCATACTAGTAATTCAAACAAACTATGGAAATCAAAAGTAAGCTGAAACAAAAGGGAGACAAACCTGTACGGAAAATTCTAGGAGAGTGTTAACAGCCATTGAATGTTCCATCAGATCAAACAAGTACGATATATTCTCCACCTGCGGTAAATACGTCGACGTTCCCGATGTAAAACAATTGATCTGTTCGTGAACGGCCATGGTACACTGCCACGTGACCACATGTTGATCGTAATACGATAACTTATGAAACTTTCCAAACAGCACTTCTAGGTTACCGACAACTGAAACTGAACTTGGTTCGTCTTTATCTTTCTTTTTCTTCGGTTTACCGAGATCACCGCTACTCATGTCTATACAGCTTTTACGACTGTACAATCGTAGGATCTCTTTCCCGACCTTTTTTAAGATGTGGCGCGCAGCGTCCCGAGCTTTTCCGACACCAAACAGAACCACTAGCCTTTGATTACATTCGTGACTTGACAACTCGTCTTGAGGTAGAGGGAAGTGGGTAGCGTACTGCTGATGTCTGGATGGACCTTTAAGTTCCGCCATCATCGGCGGCTCGGGCTTACTAACACTTGCTATAGGCTGCTCTTTCTCTGACTTAATTGATTTAACGGAAGCTGAAAATAATTCACACTGTTAGTATGATTTTGAGTAATAACAAAAAATAACTGTTACAGAATATGTGAAGAAACAAACATGAAATCAAAGTGTATGGCATTACTGTGTTATACATTACAAAAGATAATATGTGCATTTGTAGTGTGTTCATTTGTAGTGGTGGTAGTGTTTTGTTTTGTGTTGTTGGTGGTGGTGGTTGAAGTTTTGTTTTCAGTCACATGCTTTGAGTTTTCTGTTACAATCATGAACATTGGTCAGATCATGTGGAGATTTCACCATCTTAAATGGTCAAGAAGAAGAATTCTATTAGACTCGTCTTTTAGTTCTCATCCTTTTCTATTATATAAACATATTTTGTTTGTTGTTTATTTGTATGTACATTATATATACTTTTGGGAATAAATATGTTTAAAGCTTTAGTGAAGGAATAACCAGAGGAGTAGAATCATTGACCATTCACCTTGACAATTCTTGCTAGATATAGCTTATATAATATAAAACATTATTTCAGAAAGATTTACATAAAATAACTGGATCCAAAGACAGAAATACTATAAAACCCTCAAATAGATGGAAAAAAAGATACACATTTTAAAAAAATAAATGTTTTTTTGGTTGGGTGTTATGTCGCTTCAACACTGTAAAGGTTTTATGGCAACATTCCAGTTTCATTGGTGGAGGACGACTTAAAGTGTTCCCTCTATGCATTTATTCCACGCATGAATGGGCACCTGAGTAGAACCACTGACATTCCGTCAGCCAGCTGGATGGCTTCCTCACAGGCGGGATTCAAACTCAAAGTGGTGAGGGGCATTTTATTTGAAGTCAACAACCTTAACCATCCAGCTACAGACACAACAGTAACAAATATGCTCTTTTAGTTCAAAATTTATATAAAGATGTAAAATACTTGAAACAAGAATGTTCATTAAATTCAGCATACCAGGTGCAGTGGGACTAAGTCTTGGTTCATCTTTCACGTCAAAGAAGCTACCAAAGTCTGTATCCATTGTATGTATGTCCATGTCCACCTTTATATCATCTTGATGCTGAAATAAAAATGTTGATTTACTAATATTTCTCTGTCAATAAATTAACTCACATATTGTCATTTTATTGCAGTAATTGGTTAACGCTTATTGACATTTAATTGAGTTAATTGGTTAATACATTATAGTGGCAACATCTTATACAGATATATATTATCTACTTTATTCACGTGAAATGTTAGATAGATTTTTGTACTGTAATGTAATGTTTGAGATTTTTTTCACCCTAAAACGGTAGAAACCCACAATACTGGATTTCCATTAAACCGAAAGTCCCCAGTAAATGGGACATTTCTAAGGGTCCCGAATTGCTCACTTCTATTCTCTTTGTATAAATATCCTCACAAAACTGGAAACTCAGTATTTAGGATGCTGGACAAAAAATTGGAATAATAAGTCATTTGTCACCAAAATTTACCCTGCAAAATGGGACATAATTATGAATTATGGATTCAAATACACAAGTAAGCTTTCACCCCATCCCCTTAAATCCTCAGTAAACAGGAATACTCGCTTATCCGGATATTCTTCCGTTCCCGACTGTGTCCCGTTTAGTGAGTTTTTACTGACTATAATAATGAGTATATTCACTACAATGTAACAATTAATGAACTTACTTCATGTTTAATACTCTCCACTTCACTCTTCATACTGAGTAAGTCGACACTGTCGGCCACCATGGAAGCTACAGCTGGCGCTGACATGAGATCACCACGCGAGATCAACGTGCACATGTACGCATCGTGTGAGAATACTTCATGACGTATTAACTCTGAGAACAGGTGGATCAAGTTAGCAAACGCTTGCTGGCTGTCCTCACTCGAGTTAGCTGTATCGTCTATAAATAGAACATATTCAATCGATTGTAGGTTTAATACGAAATTTATTGAGCCTAAGGGGACTAGTTTTATTCAACAAGTTATATAAATTTATTATTGAATCTAAACAAATATTATATTCTATTTATCACACATTAGAAAAAAGAATGGTAAACTGTTAAAAAGAATCGTTTTTCATTGACGCACCTATGGTGTAAGGCTAAAATTAGCATGCTTTTATGATATGCTTGTCTATAACACAATCACACTATCAATTCTGAACAAAGATTCATTGCAGATGGTCCAAAATCTTCAAATATTCAAACTTATAAAGGTCTAATTATGAAAAAAAGCAGCTTACCTAGAACAGGAGCTTTAGTATCTAGGAAGTTAAGAAGTAAGGACTGGAAGACAGGAACACTGGCTGGTATCATCATATCACTACCAGCAGAATCTTTATCATCAGGTACATCCGAATCCCCATATTTCTGAAGCATAAGAAATCAGAACATGTCAGCATGTGCCGTAATTCTGTGTCGGATCAGAAAATAGTTTTTAAAGCAAATTCTTTACAGTTGATTTCTATTTGGTTGGGTTTTATGTCACATCAACACTGTAAATGTCTACTTTTCGACTAATAGTCAAGCTAATAATTACAGTCATTCAATTTCTTACCTCTGCCCTAATGTCACTTTGCCTTTTCTCTAGTAACTTAGCAACCACAACAGCTCTATGAGCACCTTTTCTCTTTGTACTCACACCCAGTCTATAAGCAGCTTGATTTGGGTCTCACTGACCAATGGTAAAAATAAAGAAACACATTTTCCCAGTGTTTTATTTCTAAAAAAAAATTTTCTAGGAAATTTAAAGGGAACAGTAAAATGATATCTTCCCCGAAAATTAATTTCTTAAAGGCCAGTTTAAACTTTTTTTATTGGTTTTTCTGCACTACAAAAGTAAAATCATATGGCCACATTCCAACTTTACTTTTCAGGAAGATTCCAGGTGCCCCTCTATACATTATTTCAGTCTCAAACAGGCACCAGAGAAGAACCACCAACATTCCATAAGATAACTGGATAGTTTCCTCACATGAAAGAATATTTAAGTCCCTATTGGAATTTGAACCCACTGCATTGAGGGGCAAGTGGTTTGAAGACAAAAGACCTGAATGACTCTGCCACAGACACCCATAAAGATAATTGAGTGGAGCAAACCAATTACGTCACTTTAGTGAGTAAGTATAAAACCATCAAGGAAGAATAAAGGAAGATTTAGAACCTTGTGTACATACCTCATTTCCATCTTTGTTCTGTGTGACGGTGAAGATTTTGTTATACAGTGAGTCTAGACAATTGTTACTTTCTACTTTATCAAAGTTGTGTCTGTCTAACATGTCCAGAACATTTAAAACTTTACCCATAGTATAACCTGAAAATCAATGGTAAATAAATATAAATACAGTGTGTCTCTCAATAAGCTGATTTTTATTGTAACATTGGCGGTTTAACCTCCTCACACGAAAGTAGCTTAATTCCTTGGCGGGATTCCAACCCACAGTGGTGAGGAGCAAGTGGTTTGAAAGTCAATGACCTTAACCACTTGACAAAGGAAGCCCCACTTAGAACCACTCTTAAATCTACCTCCTTCCACTAACCATTACAAGTGTCATATTAAGAGAAAATTGTAACCCAAGATGACTTTGAACCTATATTTTCAAGATTTAAAGGCAGATTGTCCACTTAGCCAATAAATTTTTAGTTCACTTAGCCCATTTATTATTAGTCCACTTAGCCTATTTATTAATAGTCCACTTAGCCTATTTATTATTTGTCCACTTAGCCAATCAATTATTAGTCCACTTAGCCTATTTATTATTAGTCCACTTAGCCTATTTATCATTAGTCCACTTTGCTTATTTATTATTAGTCCACTTAGCCTATTCATCATTAGTCCACTCAACCTACGCTAAAATTACAATAAATATAACTAACCAGTCGTAGACTGTTGACATTTATCGGAGGACCATCTAACTTCTGCTGCCCTACTACGTAACCGTATCTGCTGCTCCATATTCCTAATCTGTGAACGTATCTATAAAACAAATATACCTTCTTTGTTAACATTTCTTCAAGATGTGTTTAACCTTGCACCAACACAGTATAGGTCATATGGCGACTTTCAAGCTTATGTGTGGTGGAAGACATCAGATGCCCCTCTGTGTGAGGCACAAAGATATATCTTAGAAGAACCATAGACATTCTGTAAGACAGCTGGATAGCTTTCTTTCATGAAAGAATCCAATTAGGCTTGCTGGGCTAGAATATACAGCAGTGAGAAGCAAGTGTTTGGAGTCAATGTGAATAACAAGTGGGACACAGATGCCCATTTTTTTACATGAATGTTAAATTATAATATTATAATTTTATTTTTTGGACTTTGGACAGCTACTTTAACCATTGGTCACAAAGGCCCCATATCAATAGCTGCATGTTAATTTGTAAAGTATTTAAGAAATAACAACAAACTCCTTAATTCAAATTATTTTGGTAGTGCTTCAAATGTTTCTTTTTGTGCATATCATCAGCTGACTATTTTTAATCAACAATAATACACATATCAAATGATTTAATGTCAAGAAAAATGTGAGAATAGTAAATGAGAATGTTTTCCGCGACGAAACACTATTATGATTGTTTATACCCTAAATTTGTTCATTTGTATACAAATTTATATTTATTACCTGATTATTTTGTTCACTTGGTGGCATAGGTAAACAAGACGGTGAACAAGGGAGAATATCCAGTGGTGATCCGCAGTAAGGGGAACTACTCCTACCTTCACTTAAGTTGTTCCAGATCATAGCAGACGGGCTTGTCATTGTTATAACCTGAAATCATGTACAATAATAATAATTAATAATAATATATAATAATGATAATAATAATAATTATAATAATAATAATAATGATAATAATACTAGCAATAATAGTAGACTTTATATACAATTTGAGCCACATAAGACACTTCATGTAATATCGTGTACAGCTGAATTTTATAACTGGTTAAATTATGAAAATATTCTACAGGTTATACACATAACATTACAGAAACCTACCATTTAAAAGATATAATCACAGTCATATCAATACAAAATTTGAAAACTTCTTGGAGAGGAGAATAATTTAGTTTTTAGTTTACTTCAAACAAATTTATTTTGATTGTGTTGAAAGCTTGACCTTAAATTGACCACTCATGAATTCAATTCCTAAAATTGGGAACAAATGAGAAAACATGGTTGCGAGTTTGTGACTCAAGTTGGACATGAAACAAAAATCCCTTGGTTCCAAAATAGACATCTTAGAGGAACTCCACTTAGTTTTCTTGACATCATGGGACAGTTGGGACTGGAAATAAATTTTTGAGATTAATATTTCATTTGATGTCAATTGAGACCAATAACTTGTGTGCAAAATTTCTCTTTCCATTGTTCCAGAACAATTACTCTAATTGTGCCAAATGACCTAAATTGAAAAGTGTTGTAATGCTTTTCACTAAAATCAGGCTAAGATTATCATAAAGTACGATTTTCAATTTATTTCTGTAATTGCTGTACTACTATATATTAGCATCCGCGCACTCTGATCAGGATCCATGCTGTTCGCTATCAGTTTATCTACTTGTAATAGGGTTGGTAAGCGAACAGCATGGATACTGATCAGACTGCGCGGATGCGCAGGCTGGTCTGGATCCATGCTGGTCGCAAACCCATTATGTTGGTTTTGTTATGGCGCAGCTCATACATATATATATGTATGATAAAACTTTACCTGGAGACATGCACTTAAACTTAGTATAATCCCTCTATGTTGTGGACAATTGTTGTACTCTGCAAACACTGCAGCCAGAGGATTCTGGGATACCAGCTGATTGTTATTGTTACTAAAAATAAACATTTATACAGTGTACATGTTAGTTTTATACTAAATTATTTCAGTTGGATTGTGTTCGAAGCTAACACTCTGGAATCCATTCCTGGAACCAATCAGTACTAAGCAATGAGTGTAAAGTTTCTTGTTCACTGAAACAACAGCTTGCCCCTGATGAAGTTTGAACCCGCAAGACAAGCAATCCTTAGATTGCTAGACTGACATGTTAACCACTCGGCTATGCCGCCACATGTTAATAATGAGGAATTCAAAATTGCATGGCTAAAATATTTGAAACATTTAAATTTCATTATAATTTCTTGTCTGAAGTTCAAAATCTTAATCCAAGCAGAATGTAAATCTCAATAATCTATTTCATAAAAAAAATCTTGAATTCAACTTTCAAATTCTGAACATACCTAATAACTTGGAACTGTCAAAATTTTTCAGTAAAAATACACAAGGCTGTGAGTCGTCATATAAACAAACCATCAACTTTATTGTTTAGTGATAGATTCAAAAACCTTTTACTATTCGTAATACATTAGATGGAATTTGGAGAGTACTGTTTTGTTGGTTTTTAAGTCGCACCAGTACTGTAGACGTCATAATGCTACTTTCTAGCTATACTGGTGGAGAAAACCTCAGTAGCCCCTTCAGACATTAATTAAGACACCAGCCCACACCTGAGTAGAACTACATTCATTTTACTAGCTAGCTTGATGGCTTTCTCACATGAAAGTATCTAATGTCCCTGGATAATACTATAAAAGTCAACAACAAACATACAAAATGTAGAGAATCAGGTTTTGATACGTACTTATTGTTACTTGCGTTTAACATCGGCGACTGTGTCCTGGGCGAGGTACAACCTGAATCATTACACATCTGACTGATTCTACGTGCCGCACCGTAAGCTAGACGTCTCGATAACTGTGCTGATAATGTCACCTCATCAAGATACTGACAAAAAAAGAAGAAACAATATAAAACATTCATAAATACCTTAATCAGTGTTGCAAACAGTAGGTTTTAGCAAGCTAATCCTTAGGTACAAACTTTTAAAGCTGTAACTGTAAAAGTTGGTTTCTACCTACAGATTAGCTTTGAAAAATCAAAAAATTCTTAATTTCGGAGTTAGTCTATTAAGAACAAGCATTTGATAGTATTGCGGGCAATACAGTAGTCCCCTACCGGTCCCTCAAAAAGTTCTTTAATTGTCATACACTCCTGTGTATTGCCATTTATAATGAATTTGAGGATGAAGTCTGTATTTGAAAATATCAACCACAAAACATAATAAAATAAGTTTGTCTATATCACAGTAATGTGTTAAGTTTCCATGCTTAGTAAGGAAATTATGTTTATACAACCTTGTCATATTATTACGATGTGGGATTTTAAAGTAAATCCTATAAGGAATGAAGAAGTTGGAGTGAAAATACCAGTTTTCTCGAAAAAATCTAAGTTCAAGGGGGACATAATTCTGGAAATAGTCTCTTGCTAGAGTATTAAACCTTCTCAAAAATGTCGAGTGATAATAAGAAACATATATATGAAGTTTGAAGTAGATACATTAGGAAATAAAGAAGTTATTTAAACAAGAGGGCCATGATGGCCCTGAGGTCGCTCACCTGTATATAGGCCCCCCCAACCCCCCTCCCCAACGTTGCAGGGCCAATTTAACCCAAGGGCTTTTATTTGCACAAACTTGGTAGACACCCATTAGAAGATGTTTCATGCTAAACATTTAAGCTCTAGCTCATTGGGGCTTTTTAAAAGAAGATTTTTTAAAAGTTTTTACTATACACATATAGTTAAAAACAATGACACCCCTGGGGCCGGGCCAGTTTTGACCCCAGGGCTTTTATTTGAACAAACTTTGTAGACACTTACTAGAAGATGTTTCATGCTTTAATATCTAAACTCTAGCTATTTGGGTTTTTTCAAAGAAGATTTAAAGTTTTTGCTAAACACAAATAAAGAAAATCAATGAACCCCGGGGCGGAGCCAATTTTGACCCCTGGGCTTGTATTTGAACAAACTTGGTAGACACCTATAAGAACATGTTTGATGCTCAATTTCTTAGCCATAGCTCTTTGAGTTCTTTAAAAGAAGATTTTTTAAGTTTTTACTATATGCATATAGGGAAAATCAATGACCCCCCGGGGCGGGGCCAATTTTCACCCCCAGGGCTTTTATTTGAACAAACTTGGTAGACACCCATTAGAACATGTTTCATGCTAAATATCTTAGCTCTAGCTCTTTGGGTTCTTTAAAAGAAGATTTTTTAAGTTTTTACTATATGCATATAGGGAAAATCAATGACCCCCCCCCCCCCGGGGCGGGGCCAATTTTGACCCCAGGGCTTTTATTTGAACAAACTTGGTAGACACCCATTAGAAGATGTTTCATGCCAAATATCTAAGCTCTAGCTCTTTGAGTTCTTTAAAAGAAGATTTTTAAGTTTTTACTATATGCATATAGGGAAAATCAATGACCCCCGGGGCGGGGCCAATTTTCACCCCAGGGCTTTTATTTGAACAAACTTTGTACACACTCACTAGAAGATGTTTCATGCTTAATATCTAAACTCTAGCTATCTGGGTTTTTTCAAAGAAGATTTTTAAAGCTTTTGCTATACACATATAAGGAAATCAATGACCCCCGGGGCGGGGCCAATTTTGACCCCAGGGCTTTTATTTGAACAAACTTGGTAGACACCTATTAGAAACATGTTTGATGCTAAATATCTTAGCTCTAGCTCTTTGAGTTCTTTAAAAGAAGATTTTTTAAGTTTTTACTATATGCATATAGGGAAAATCAATGACCCCCTGGGGCGGGGCCAATTTTGACCCCAGGGCTTTTATTTGAACAAACTTGGTAGACATTCATTAGAACATGTTTCATGCTAAATATCTTAGCTCTAGCTCTTTGGGTTCTTTAAAAGAAGATTTTTTAAGTTTTTACTATATGCATATAGGGAAAATCAATGACCCCTGGGGCGGGGCCAATTTTGACCCCAGGGCTTTTATTTGAACAAACTTGGTAGACACTCACTAGAAGATGTTTCATGCCAAATATCTAAGCTCTAGCTCTTAGGGTTTTTTAAAAGAAGATATTTAAAGTTTTTTCTTTCGGTTGCCATGGCAACCAGAGTTCTGCATGGAATTAAATTCTTTGAACAATTTTTAAAGGTGACCACCAAAGGAACATTCCTGTGAAGTTTGGATGAAATTGGCCTAGTGGTTTATGAGGAGATGTCATTTAAAGTAAAAGTTTACGGACGACGGACGGACGACGGACGGACGCCGGACGAAAAGCGATCACAAAAGCTCACCCTGTCACTTTGTGACAGGTGAGCTAAAAAGACAACATTTTTTCCCCTAAAAAATCTAAGTTCAAGGGAGGTAATACTGATATTTTTTGTGCTAGAGTTATAAACCTTGTCACATATGATGTGAATGATGACCAGAAACTTATATTTAAAGTTTGAAGTAAACACCTTAAGAAATAAAGAACATATAGTGAAAAAGCTGAAAAATTTAAATCAGAAATCTTGAAATTCAGGCTATTTGTTGCCATAGCAACCAGAATTTTCAACATAGGAAGAAAAGAAAAAGATGTGCATAATCTCCAGACTGCCATCTACCCATATTTCAAGTTTCATAAAAATATTTTCAGTACTTTTTGAGTTATCATTGGATCCAGTTTTTGGGTTAAATTTGCCATATTTTCAGACTATTTGTTGCCATAGCAACCAGAATTTTCAACATAGGCAGAAAGAAAAAAGACGTGCATAATCTCCATACTGCCATCTATCCATATATCAAGTTTCATAAAAATATTTTCAGTACTTTTTGCGTTATCGGGGGATCCAGTTTTGTGGACGGACGGACTGACAGACTGACAGACAGACGGACAGACAGACGGACAGACGGAGGGTAAACCTAAAGTCCCCTCCGGTTAAACCGGTAGGGGACTAATTAATCAATTAACTTACTCAAGTGCATGTGTTCTAAGATATTAAGCAAAATTTAAATATCTGACAAATATGAAACTTTTCTACATCTTAACTTCAAAGTCATTGGCAAAATTACATGTGCAACCCTTATCCATTCACCTTAGGAATAGTTTGGAGTTTTAGATTATAAATAAGCAAAACACTAGAGACAGGCAGATGATAAAAAACACCACTAAATGTCCTGGCAATGTGAGATGCAAAAATGGCATTGGAACAAAACCCATGTCTAAACGTAAGACTAAAGGGACAACCCAGCACACTGGGGACAGAAGAAGACTAAAAACTTGGCTCAGGGGGTAATAGTTTTAGTAGTTTACCCTCCAGATCACAGAAGTCAGCCACATTAAATTTACCAAAGCACAGGTCAGCCTCCACATTGTGGGCCCAGCAAAGCAACTGCTTTGCCTGTGTGTTCAGTTTCTCTACTTTGCCTTTAAGTAAGGGGCAGGGTAGGGGGTACTAAGTATACAATAAAGTATAAGCAAAGATTAGTACCTGTAACAATTCTTTCAGCACCAGTTTCAGTATAGTATCATCAGTCTGTTTTGTCTTCTCTACTATCTCCACAATCCATGACAAAAACTCATGTCTGTCCAGTAATCCCTCCTGTATAATACATATACACTTTCAGTAAAATATTTAAAACATTTCACAAACATTTGTCATCTTATGTGCTTATTTTATAGTAACATCAGCCGTTGCAACCTCAATTTGTCTTGATGCTTGATAGCAAAACAAGAGCCATGTTGAAATTTTCTAGTTTGCTTCTAAGTTTACAGAGTGTCCAACTATTTCTCAAAGTTTAACATTTGACTTCAGGCCATGTAGCAATGTTCCAAGTTCACAAAGAGAATAGATAATTCACTAAAATCCACAAATTTTGGTCAGTAACATGTGATTTTTACCCTAAAATTGACTCAAAATAATACAAAATTCACAATTTTGCAGTTGTCATGACATGTTTTTTTTTTATCCCAACAGATCTAATTTCAGGACCGAAACATTGCCAAATTAAATTGACTTAGAGATGTTCCCAAAAAGGGTCGAAAAATCAAAATAAATCAACATAAAGTCTATCAAAAGTCAAGTTTTCACATATAAACATGATACATACATCATACATATGTCTTGCCAGCCGTGAACAGTAATGCCACTGTTTGAGCGCTAGATCCAGGTCGACCTGTGATGGTGCCTGAGTGGCGGTCAGAAAACTCATCACCGGACCAGTAGTGCTGCCATGGTAATGCTCCTGAACCTTGTTTAACTGTTCCTTCATAAACTTTGTAAGACCTATAGTCCATTCTGAAAATAAATAAGAATTTTGGTATTAGTTTTTTTGGGGCTGGATTTAACGTTATACCACCACAGTATACATGTAAGTCATATGGTGATATTTCAACTTTATTGGTGGAGGAAGACCTCAGATGCATTATTTCAGGCACAAACGGGCACTGGAGTAGAACCATCATCATTCCATCAGCTAGCTGGATTGCTTTCTCAGATGAAAGAATCCAAAGACGCTAGTGCAGCTCAGATCTCCAGTGATAAGAGGCAAGTGGTTTGAAGACCTTAACAACTTTACCAAATGCCGTCAAAAAAAATTCATGACACATTTTAAACCTTGTAAGAGCTATATTCACAAGTAGTCATTTCTGAAGAGTGAAAATTTACTAACTTCTAAATTATAAGGTGTGTAGTCCATTCTGTGAAGATAAAAAATTAAAGGAAGGTGATGAATACCATAAACAATTATATTTATAATCATAACAGTTCTGAGTGATTTCGTAGAAACAATTTCATGATGAATACTCATTTTTTTGTTCCAACACAATTTACCAAAGACTTGCTACATAAATAACTATATGTAATATCAGATCAATCATCATGTATATCAAACTTACCAACAACATGACACATCCATATAATTCTTTCATAGTTTGTTGTTATGTCTGATACTAAATAATTTAACTTTAATCTAACATAACTATTTATTGTTTAAAAGCCCTTTTACAGACCAATTCACCAAACCTAAATATGACCTATACGACTTACCTAGTGACTGATCAACTGTTTGTCTTTTCTTCGGCTTATTTTCCTGCATGGCAAGGTAGTGGGCCGCCGTCATCTTGATAAACCACACTGCTTTTATCATCGGAATGTTAAACTCGCAGAGGTTGGTGAATATTTCCTCTTTCTTACTGTAGAAAAAGGACGGCACTCGTTTGCTCAGGTGTGCTAGAGGCTTAGATCCTGAGGCCAAATCTTTAAACCAGTTTTCTACGAGAGGTTTCTTTGTTGTTGTAACCTGCGAAACAAAATTTATTAGACAATCAATATAAACAAAAACCTGTAAACAAAGGTCATTCAAGAGAGAGAGATCAAACATGACCTTAATAATACAAGTGGGCTTAATTTGGAGGTTATTTTGTTCTTTTTAATCCCTGACTGAAGAGTGGCCTTTATTTACAGGATGATCTTTAATCAAAGGAGGTGTGACTGTATATAGCAAACATTTATATCAAATTAAATTAGACAGAATTTAAGACAATTGAAATGGGCAGCATTTATGTCAACTAAAAATAAACAACACTTACAGGCAATCATAATTTATAACTTAATTTTTACAACTTAAAGCAGTGCTTTTATAATCAACTTTTAAAACAGACGCCATTAAAAGGCCTTTCCCACACTGAAATTTTCATAAAAACCATGCAGTTTTCGCAAAAATCTGATCTTACATGTACACCAGCTTTTTAACCTTTTTAGCGATAGTTCTTCCCAATTATATGGAAAAAAACACTGGAAAGAATCACGAATAATAATCATCTATGCTCAATTTTGATTATTCTTAAACTGTTATTTCATTCATTTTTTCCTCTAAAATTCCACAAAGACCAGAAAAATATTTTCTGAAAGCTAGGAAAGAGTTAATTTATCTGATTCTTGATTTCATACTTTCCTAAGTCATATACAACTAAACACAAATCTATATAAACTATAATTCAGTATACCGGCCAGAAATTATCTTTCATAATCTGGGGCTTCTTTTTGCTACTGTCACTCCATGTGTTCAATTCTATCTTCTTAGTCATCACCGCACTGAAGAATGCTCCAAACTGAAATATTATTGAAAATTATCATTCTCCATTTAAAAGCAAACATTTTTTTTCGTTTAAGAAGCATGGGATAAAAATCAAAGTTTTAACTGTCATTTTGATTGTATTGTAACATTTATGTCTTCAAACTAAAATACAGGGGAAGCTGTGGACTAGTTGTGAAGGTAATTTCATTTTTTGAAATGCTTAAGATTTTTTTTTTAGATAAATTGTCATGACATGACTTCAAGAAAATCTTATTTGTATTTACAAGAAAAACCTGCAAATCTTAACAATTTTCAATAAAAAGTTGATTTGATCATGAAAAACTCAAACCCACAAATCACTATTTTGAAAAAGCATTAGAAAAGGAATATTAACAGTATATTGCTACTTATTTATTTATATTACAAAAAACACCACAATAAAACCTTCTCTTGACTGATGTTCGCATTCTTCCCGGATCCATACTGAAATAAATATCAGGCATAAAATTAGTTCTGTATCAATGAAGCTAAACTTGCTAATACATATAGATATACATTATAATTGCAGCTTATCAAATCTATATTTGTTTAAATCTAACTAAAGATCAACTTTTACAAGATTTGTGTTCTATTTATTTAATGTTAACCTAATTTTATAATAACCTTTTTTTTTATAATGATTTAGTCTGTTATTCTCCCTATGAAAATCATCAGAAATATGAATGTAAGAATAAGTTAAAATAACAGCAGTGATTTTCCTGCTTACATAAAAGACTCTGATATAAGGCCTATTCCCAATTGAAATTTTCTTTAAAATCAAGTAGTTTTCCCAAAAATCTGAACATAAACCTGCCATTTTACTTCCAAAATTGACAATTTTAGAGATAATTTTTCCCAAAATCAAAAGGCTAAGGCCTCTTCCCAATAAAGCGAGAAAAATCACTGAACAGAATAAAATAGTGTACTTGAATTGCATTAGATAGCATGAAGCTCAAGCATTCAATTCTACGAATGTTTTTACTTACTTCATCATTGAAGTGTGGCAAATTACTGAATCCAAGCTTAACACTGGTTGACGTGAGTTCATCCTGTAAAAAAAATCATTTGCTGATGTGACAATATTTGTCATTCTTTAAAAATGTTTTAAAGACTATTTATGGTTTATAACAACAAACGAACATGCCAGTGTCAAAATTTTCATATTGCATTAAAAAAAAAAAGAATTTAAATCTTTTCGATTTACGATACAGTTAGAATACTGTTCCACAGTTAAGCATCCTTACAAGTTCAAAGGTCAGCTGCCAGATATGTATACAATGACTACAATTACACCAGTAGTGTATTTAAAATGTAAAGTGATCTTAATTGGCAAACTCTAGAGCAGAGGCGCAACATCAGCTCTGTTACCCTACTCCACAAAATCCAAAACAATCTTGTGAGGGTCGACCATCACCATCTGACACTCACTATAAACCTGAACTACCTAATACCATACTCAAGGACACAATACTACTCCTATTCATTTTTCCCCAGAAGTATCCGTCTGTGGAGTCTGGAATGGCCTACTAGTGTCCTTACAAGCTAGTCCCAGTTTAGATCTCTTTACTGGGAAGCTGCATCCTTTTTACCAGTTCTGATTCAACTTTGCTTTTAACTTTTTATCTCAGTCTTGTAGTTCTTATTATTATTTTAAACTTGCTTTTATCAATAATCTTATACCTACAGTACTGGACACGCGAAACCCGCAAAAGTCGCGTTATGCCGCGAGTGTAGTCTATGTCGCGACGGGACACTACGCGGTAAAACATCGCCGCGTGCAAGTTCGCGGAATTTCATGGCGGTTCACGAAAAATCGCCGCGATGTATCGCCGTAATTTACGGCGAATCTTCAGCAATAATTGTATTAGAAAGTACTACTTGGTCATTTCCGTGGTCTTTAATTTTGAAAACTTTAAAAAAATCTTGTAAACGTCATGTATATTTATAAATATTTAGCATTTTAACATGTACAGCATATACATTTTGTATACTAAAACAAAGCAATCAGGTGCTGGTGAAAATTAGTTAACAATAAAACGAGATTGAAATTACAAAAGGTAATTGGTACTACATCAAAGAACGCACGATAACAAATTGTCCAATTGTTATTTTGATAATAATACAAATGTAATTAAAATCCATTGTTTACTTTCGCACATATTCTATTTTTAGAACAATGCAAAGCGACATTTAGCACCGATTCACATGTGTAACGTCTAATATGCTAATTATGATTGTTGAAAATTGTAAGTTTTATCACTTAAATTGAGACATTCTTTACCTTCAATTTCACGAGTAAAAAATGCCAGGTGCATGAGTAGTTAAAATCGGAGTTAAATCACACATTTAATATGTAAAGTAACGAGTGATCATTCATGAGGGCATTCTGTGCATAAATTAGGGTGTTACTATTTAAAGTATTTACATAAATAGCGACCAACCAGGGAAGGATATTTTCCTTACGTCACGCAGTACTGCATGCGGGCGGCAATTAAGTTGAATTAACTAATAAAAGCACGTATCACGTGGAAACGGGATTAAAAATTTTTTTGTTCAATTAATGAATATTTGTAAAGCATTTATATGGTCACTAGTTTACCATGTGGTAATTTTAATGTGCTTTGGGGTACATGTTCGTTTGTTCATGACTGACGACACAGATTAAATACTAAGCCCATGCAATAAAACATTTCTGGTAGCGGCGGGGATTCTGTCATAAAATTGACCGAAAAAATATTTTTTGGAAGCTGTGGTCCTTTCATATGCATTATTGTTTTGATAGCAGACACAAGTATTGCACAATATCTTCAAGATCATAAAAATGTAAATAAAATATCACACTCAAAATGCACTTACGATTGATAATATGTCAATAATTGACACAATCAATATCCAACATTTTTTTTACTTGAGCAGTAATTAAACATGTGTAATCATTCCTTGACAAAAAGAAATGACAGTTTTTTTCTGATATATAAAGAAGAGGTGGAAGTCAACCGAGTGTCGGCATTTCTTTGATGATTCGGCAACAACTACAGGTGTGTAAACATCAAAGATTCACAGATTCTTCAGAAGAGCCGACCAGTCATTTGTCAGAGGTCATTTCGTGTGTAAATTTTGTATTTATTATTTAACAATGGAAACATTTAATTTATATTCCTTTTATTTATGGATGCTTCTTTTTGCGCGAGTGTTTTTGTGTCTTTTAGCACTATGGAATTTCAACAATCAGCGATAATTTTCGGTAACTAACAATTAAATATTTTAACATTTTTAAAACAGGGGTGCAAATATCCGCCATTCAGAAATTATAGACAAATCTTGCGTGTGTTATTTTTTACAGACGTGTAAGAGAACGAAATGTCCCGGTGATCCACTATAACTCTTCCAGGTCGTACGGGAATATTTACGCAGGATTAGTTTATCACATCGGTAATTTGACCATGCTTGAATTTATGTCTTATGTAACGTTTTCAATATGGGGATACATTTAGAAATGAACAAGTTAATGTCGTATCAATTATGTATCTTTTTATGTAACTAAATATCTTTTTACACATATATTATATTTATATCTCTACTTTAAACTCAATATGTATCCCCCCCTAAAAAATATTTTTACACGTGTACATGTACACTATTTACCTGCCGATGGAGCCGCATACTTGTACTGCGTCGCATTTATACATTGAGGTCATGATTCCGCCATTCACGGAAAGTTTTTAACGGTGTTATTTGATTTCGCCGTGGTTATTTATATTTGCTGTTGGCATCAAACATAAATAGAGAAAGGGCATTTTAGCAAATTACAAGATTTTCTTGATACAACCTAATTAATTTTCGTACTTGTACATGTATATCTGGTTTCAAGTTCACAGAGTACAATTATAAATAGATCTACATTTATTATACAAATGAACATGTATTATTCCCCGCGAATCACGGCAAATGTTCACGGCAAAATCGCCGCGAGTAAAATTCGCGGCAATTGTCTCAAGTTGCCACGAATTCGCTCGCTTTATAAAGCATGAGAGTTCGCCACGAATACGCGAATTGTGCGGGTTTCGCGTGTCCAGTACTGTAATCCTATAAATGTGATGTCACTTTGAGATATTTTTGCTTCTGGGCAAAGCAACAGGCTTGACCAACATAAACTGTAACAAGCCTGTAACGTCTAATATATTGGACTAATCCAGTGTAAGAAATTAGGATTTGAATCGACTAGGCTGGTCGGACTACCAAATTGGAATATTCACTAGCCCAAAAGACATTTCACTAGCACGATTCATTTGTTCAAAACAGTTGTTTATATTGCCTCTGAAAATACAGTAGCCTGGTCGGGCTTTTTACTGTTAAAAGTTGGTAGCCCGAGGAGAAATTTAGTAGTCAGGGGCTATCGGACTACTGCTGATTTCGAACACTGCTAATCTTATAGTTATACCTATAAATTTGCACTTAACACATTTGTTTTTAACAGCTATTCCCAGACAACTCGCCTGCTTATTGTAATTGTTAACGATTTTGAAGCAGTATGATGTAGATGTAGAATCTAACTGGCTGAGATGAAAAGACTGCCATCTATCATGCAATATCAGTTTGTACAGTAAAATCAGTTGGTCATGCAGTCGAAATTTGAGACTGTATAGAACCCAAAACAAGAGATTGAACCCTTACTGCAGTCAAATTGTCTTGTTAGTTGAATTTTTTATAGGACAGATTAAATCGTATTGAATTAACCAACACCATTTTAATCAATTAAAGGCAGCTAAGTGATGGAAAAAAAAGCTGTTGATAATTTATCCGAAAACCAATTCACTTCATTGTCCCGCATTGTATATAAACAAGTATATTTATTGTAAAATCAGCCTAAAATTATTTTGAAAACATATATGCACATTCTATTCTACCTCTTTTTGCTTTGGGTCCTGTGGATAAACATCTGGCGGTCCCAATCTAGCCTTTTTTAAAGGCCGCTTATCCTGACTTGGAAAAGCGGCCATTTTGGATTACTTTCGTTTAGTCAAATGCACGATTAACTTTTCTTACGATGCACCGTTTCCTGAAAAAAAGAGTAGAAATTAACAAACCGTCAAAGAAATGTAAATTTTGATGACTTTATGAAACATTTACTCAAAAATCAGGTGAGATTTGTAAAATTTTGTGTACACTTACTTTCTTTTGCTTTTTATATAGTATGTGTACGGTTTATTTCAATTCAAATTGTTCTCCAGATTTTGGGCTGTGCCCCAGGGTTTGGAAAGTTCACTGCCCTCACCATAATTGGACTTTCCTGTGACGTGTATGATGAACACATGCCAAGAAAATCAACGTAAAGTAAACTCTTTTTTATTATATGTGCCATCTTATGGGATATAAGAACAAATAAACTGCTATTTAGATAAGAAATGTATATCAAAGTTGTATATTTTTGAACAGTTAAATTTGCATATATTTAATTTCCTCAAACAACTGAATTTGCATATTTAATTTCCTCAAGCAACTGTATCAACTGGAAAATCCAACCAAAAATATCTTGCCATTCCTCAGCCATTGATTCAAGATTTCTACTTGCACATTTTTGGTGGAATTTTCATTTCAGATGGATAGTTTTCATATTTTGTTTTCTGTTGAATTAATTAATTCAATAAATCTCTTGATTGGAGGTGCGAGGTAGCTAAAGATACTTCAGTGAACAGGTTTTACAGTGCTGCTAGACCTGTTCGCTGAAGCCAATCCCATATTGAAAGTCAACCAGAACCATGACATATTTATGTCATGCTGGAAAATCCAACCAAAAATATCTTGCCATTCCTCGGCCATTGATTCAAGATTTCTACTTGCACATTTTTGGTGGAATTTTCATTTCAGATGGATAGTTTTCATATTTTGTTTTCTGTTGAATTAATTAATTCAATAAATCTCTTGATTGGAGGTGCGAGGTAGCTAAAGATACTTCAGTGAACAGGTTTTACAGTGCTGCTAGACCTGTTCGCTGAAGCCAATCCCATATTGAAAGTCAACCAGAACTATGACATATTTATGTCATGCTGTAATTCAATAAATTTGCGTGATCTGGACAAAGCTATTTTATATTTATTTTATTTCTTCATCCACTTAACTGAGAATGTTGACATTAATATGGAAAGACAAGGGATGGAAAAATCTGATTTTGATATACCTGTTGGTTTTTATCTAAAGCAGATTTTCTTAACTTCTTCCTATGATAATTTATATAGTCAGGGTTCTCAGGGACGCTTATTTTGGCGTCCTGGTACGCATGCTTATTACAGCTGGACGCAAATATTTCAGACCAAGGATTCCGCGTACGCTTAATTTTGCCTGGGACGCATAAACTTACAACCATAAATACACAAATACGTAAGAGCGCGTCAGTCTATACGTAGACGGTCCTATGCACATCGACCAGTGATGCGATTAGCCAATCAGCGATAACGCTTTCGATCATTATCACGCAATAGAGATCAGACTTATGTATACACACGCTTTACATGTAATAACCAGATATAACATGTGGTGATAATTTTTTATCTTTGATCAACAGTTGATTGGAAATTAGCAAATTTTACCGTCAAAAGGATTATCTATTGACTATTTACGCCGCAAGTTTAAAGACTGTTTTTTTTTTAAATTACAAATTCATGAGTGCTATTTTGAATTATTGTTGAATATTTTTCGCAATTTCTAGGCAAATTTTGCTTTAGTTTCATTCTTGCAAAAAACGTTCTATAAGAGTATTAAGAATTTAAGATATTGTGCGGAAATGCCAGGACATAAACCAAAATACACATACGCTTTTCTTTGATATTTAGATTCTATCCGAAAATTGATCCCGAACATTGGCTATTTCACGTTTGCCAGAAACCCTCAAATTTCTCATAGGGCACAAAAATTCTCAGTTTCCAAGCCAAACATGTGAATGAATTGTTCCTTTGTTATTTAATCAACATTAAATCTTTAAATATCGATCTTCAATTTGCCCCCTTTTGAAGATATTTGCTAAAATAATTGTTGATCGGATGAATCTCTTCCACACTGTGTGAAGCTGTACACGATTTTCCTATTCATTCCGCTAAACGCTGCCTATACCAGTATATGTTTTTTTTACAAATATAAACTTTTGGTCTTAAGAGTGGACTTATTTAACCAGAATAAAATTTGATTTGGTATTAAAGTGAAAAAAACAAAAACAGTTTCCACAAGGTGATGCATTATAATTTTATTGTTTCATAATAAATATTAACAACAAAACAATAATTATACTATGTAGTTCAGAGTTTGTTTTGAATAACTATAAACTTTGTAAGTCTCTTGAAGATTCAAAATATCAGTAATGCTATTGTGAGCATAAAATGACTAATCTGTAAACATATTAATTGCGACGCACTTTTGGACAATGACTAATCTGTAAACATATTAATTGCGACGCACTTTTGGACTCCAACTTTTTCAGGCTTGGGAGTCCATGGACTCCATGTTTTAATGTCCTAGTGAGAACCCTGATAGTAAATTCTTGAAAATTTCCACTTGGATTCTTAAAACTGTTTGTGGATTTGTATACATTATACAATATTAACAGTAGCTTGTTTGTCATGATGAACACAAGGGAGATAAAAGAACAAAAACCATTCGAGGTTACAATAGAAGTGAAACTGGCTGAAAGCATTATTTTTGATCCCAAGCAATAATTGCTTAAGGCGACCAATTAGCGATTTTTAGTCCTCCCATATGATGCCAGATGGGCCATTTTATCAATTTTAAGTAGTGACTAAGTCTCTTTATATACAATATTATGAAAGTGCAACATAATGAAAGTGCATTTTATAAGTCAAAATTTTACAATTATGCAGAATGTCTCATTTCTATTGTAGGCTTTGTGAAACACTTAAATGAATGACTTTGACTGTTTGAAAACGCAATCAGTGCCTGTAGTTGGGAGTGGCAAGTGGAACAAGGTTAAGAGATGCGGCTTGTGCGGAAAGAAAGCGTGGACGAGCCACAGGAGGGCACGGAGGAATATAGGCATGCCATCAAATCTGTGATCAAATGCCAAATACAGTCATTGGTAAGGCTAATTTAAAGTTGTGACATATTGTGAATTTGCTTAATTTTGTGGACAAAATTACTTGGTTAATTTCATTATATATTTAATTGGTGGATTATCTTGGTTTTTTTCCAAGACAGTAAAATGCCAATGATTTAACAGGGCTTCCATAAGTGGAAGTTTGGGAGTCATTAACTCCTTTCTGTATTTTGGCTTGTGACTTCCAAAATATGACCCTTTGTCTTCTTTACCTATATGATGTGCAGGGTGTTCGTTTGACCCTTGAAATGACTCTTTGAGCCTTCAAATTTCCAAAAGGCCTTATTTGACCCTCAGGATTTAAACTGGAGGGTCAAATTTTGTTAAAATCATGGGGATTTGGCCTTGTACTTGTAGTCAGTAAAACTTACCCTCAGGATTTCATGGCTAATGAACACCCTGATGTGACTTCCAATGTCAGACATTTTGCAGTCTCTGACTTCCAAATTTTGGATCTTAATGGAAGCCCTGATTTAATGCAAAATAATCTTACAAATGAAATGAAATTTTGTTGTTGGATCTTAAATTTGTTGTATGATATATCCTCAAAAGAATAAGAATATTAATGCTCAACAAATAATGATTCTGCAGTAAAATCACAGTTCAAGAAATAATTTACATGTTGTTTTGCAATTAATGACAGATTTTGCAGTATTTATTACCATATTTCTACTACGTGACTAACACAGTATGGGCTATTTTTCCATAGCCTGACCTATTTTTTTTGTAGAATTTAACTGCCGTTTGCAAAATTTTTGTAACATACTTTCCTTTGTGCACTTGTCAATATTTTAAATTTTAGTAAAATTCATTAAAATTTAGCTTGAATCTTGTGCATGCCGCTTTAATACGTAATGTTTAATAAAGTGATTTATCACAAAAGCATTGCCAATGTTGCGATTTCATAAATACATGTATGGTATTTCATGGCCATCCAGATATTTTGATGTGACGTCATTTGCGTTACACAAACATAGTGTAAAGACGCGCTAAATCTTAGCATTACACGGGTAGCACATAAATGATTCTTTTGCACTCTAAACAGTCTTTATTTTGGGTATGTGATAAATTGAATATTATATTCATGAAGGTTCATTACTGAATAATTGAACTCATTTAATAAAATAATATATTGGATGCTCGCATAATATAATTTTATTCAACTTGTTCAATAAATTCAGTATTGAATCTGTACACATTCGATATCCTCTATTTCTTATCTATTACAGTTACAGAAGTTAGCGAGCGAGCTAGGTGAGGAGACGATAGTTATCAGTACCAATGTTACAGCAGGAACGTACAGTCAGTTTGGCTCGTTTATGGGACGGGAATTCCTCGAGGAAAAAGATGACTACGTCCAGTCAATGAGTTATGGCTTTAATGCTTTTTGTTCAGGTAAAATAATAATCAGAAATTACAATGTTAGTGGTCTTTTATCTTGTAATTTATATCTTTTACTGAGGTATATGAAGAAAGCATCAGGTAGTAGCAGCATGGCCTAGTAGTTAATGCATTGGACTAGTAATCTAAGGATTGTTGGCCACGTGGGTTCGGACCCAGTCAGGGGCTAGCCATTGTTTTTCTTAAGCAAGAAACTTTTCATTCATTGTTTAGTATTGTTTGGTATCAGAAATGGATCCAAGAATTTTTCAATAAGCTTATATTTTCCAACACAAACTTATATAAATTTATATAAACTAAGCATCAGGGAATTTCTATGAGGAATCTATAAACCTAGCAGCAGCAAAGTTGGTGTATCTAGTAGACTACTCAAGGGACTGTCCATGTGACCTGTCTGAAGTAGGGACAGCTGGTAACAGTATTTTTGGAATATTTTTACTGTAACAAACCTATGTGTAACTGTACTAATTGCCTAAAGGTTACAGAATCAAAAGATGGTTCAGCTTATGAGTAACCTTTTGGACACCAAAAATAAAAAGCTTTTGAGAAATAAAAATAAAAACATTTCTGAGGCATAATGGACCTTATAAACATGTATTTTTAGTTGCAACAGTTGCAACAGTTATTATGTATTCATATAAAAGTAACATTCATTTAATTATTAATGTGAAACTTAACATTGACATTTACAGAGAAGCAGAAACTTGGGCTGGTGCAGCATGATGGTAGTGACTATAATGTTGGCACAGAGGAAATACATTCTGGTCAGTATTATTCATAATGTATCCTGCAATGTACGTGAATTCATGTTTATGTCCTGCAGGGCTTTCGTTAAGTTCCAAAGTTTGAAAGTAAAAAAAACTGCAAAATGTCTTACATTGGAAGTCACAATGTATAGATATAGAAGGAATGTAAGGCTTCTCTGCCCTAGTCGCCCTCTATCTCAAGCCCTTGTAAAGCATTATATTTTGGAATTCACAAGTCATAATCGGGAGAATTTCTTCTATGCCCAACATCTCCTACATTTCTCAACGGATTTTGACCAAACTTTCACAGAAGCTTTGTCTTCAAGTGCCCTGGCGCATATTGTCGGGGTTTTGTGATTGGATGATATTTGACCGAATTATGGCCTTTTGTATATTTTTTCCTTATACAGAATATATAGTGAACAATTTCTACAGTGCGCAACTTCTCTTACATTTCTCAACGGATTTTGACCAAACTTTCACAGAAGCTTTGTTATCAAGTGCCCTGGCACATATTGTCAGGGTTTTGTGATTGGATAATATTTGACCTTATTATGGCCCTTTGTTTTTTAGCTCACCTGTCACAAAGTGACAGGGTGAGCTTTTGTGATCTCTTTTCGTCCGGCATCCAGCCGTCCGTCGTCTGTCCGTAAACTTTTGCTTTAAATGAAATCTTCTCAAAAACCACTGTGCCAATTTCATCCAAACTTTACAGGAATGTTCCTTTGGTGGTCACCTTTAAAAATTGTTCAAAGAATTTATTCCATGCAGAACTCTGGTTGCCATGGCAACCGGAAGAAAAATCTTAAAATATCTTCTTTTAAACAACCCCAAGAGCTAGAGCTTAGATATTTGGCATGAAACATCTTCTAGTGAGTGTCTACCAAGTTTGTTCAAATAAAAGCCCTGGGGTCAAAATTGGCCCGCCCCTGGGGGTCATTGATTTTCCCTATATGCATATAGTAAAAACTTAAAAAATCTTTTTTTAAAGAACCCAAAGAGCTAGAGCTAAGATATTTGGCATGAAACATCTTCTAGTGAGTGTCTACCAAGTTTGTTCAAATAAAAGCCCTGGGGTCAAAATTGGCCCTGCCCTGGGGGGTCATTGATTTTCCCAATATGCATAAAGTATAAACTTAAAAAATCTTCTTTTAAAGAACCGTAAGAGCTAGAGCTTAGATATTAAGCATGAAACATCTTCTAGTGAGTGTCTACCAAGTTTGTTCAAATAAAAGCCCTGGGGTCAAAATTGGCCCCGCCCCAGGGGGTCATTGATTTTCGCTATATGCATATTGTAAAAACTTAAAAAATCTTCTTTTAAAGAACCCAAAGAGCTAGAGCTAAGATATTAAGCATGAAACATCTTCTAGTGAGTGTCTACCAAGTTTGTTCAAATTAAAGCCCTGTGGTCAAAATTGGCCCCACCCCAGGGGGTCATTGATTTTCCCTATATGAATATAGTAAAAACTTAAAAAATCTTCTTTTAAAGAACCATAAGAGCTAGATCTTAGATATTTGGCATGAAACATTTTCTAGTGAATGTCTACCAAGTTTGTTCAAATAAAAGCCCTTGGGTCAAAATTGACCCCGCCCCACGGGGTCATAGATTTTCCCTATATGCATAAAGTAAAACTTAAAAAATCTTCTTTAAAGAACCCAAAGAGCTAGAGCTAAGATATTTAGCATGAAACATCTTCTAATAAGTGTTTACCAAGTTTGTTCAAATAAAAGCCCTTGGGTCAAAATTGGCCCGCCCCAGGGGGTCATTGATTTTCCCTATATGCATAAAGTAAAAACTTAAAAAATCTTCTTTTAAAGAACTCAAAGAGCTAGAGCTAAGATATTTAGCATGAAACATGTTCTAATGGGTGTCTACCAAGTATGTTCAAATAAAAGCCCTGGGGTCAAAACTGGACCCGCCCGGGTGGGGGGGTCATTGATTTTCCACATATTTGTATAGCAAAAACTTAAAAAATCTTCTTTGAAAAAACCCAAATAGCTAGAGTTTAGATATTATGCATGAAAAATCTTTAAGTAAATATCTACAAAGTTTGTTCAAATAAAAGCCCGGGGGTCAAAACTTGCCCTGTCCCAGGGGTGTCATTGTTTTTAACCAAATGTGTATAGTAAAAACTTTAAAAATCTTCTTTTAAAAAACCCAATGAGCTAGAAATTAGATGTTTAACATGAAACATCTTCTTATGGGTGTCTACCAAGTCTGTTCAAATAAACAAATAAAAGCCCTTGGGTAAAAATTGGCCCGGGGGTGGGGGGGCCTATATACAGGTGAGCGACCTCAGGGCCATCATGGCCCTTTTGTTTTCTTTATACAGAATTAAACAAATTCTTCTGTGCTGAACTCTTCCTACATTTCTCAACAGATTTTGACCAAACTTTCACAGAAGCTTTGTCATCAAGTGCCCTAGCACATATTGTCGGGGTTTTGTGATTGGATAATTTTTTACCTAATTATGGCCCTTTGTTTTTTTTCCTTATACAGAATATATAGTGAACACTTCTTCTGTGCCCAATTCCTCCTACATTATTCATGTTTTACATTGCACATAGTTACATTGTTACTTGTATTTGTATTTCAAATACAACATATTTATCTACAATGGTGATAATTGAAAACCTGGTTTCATGGCATTGCCATGTTTCTTGTAATTCATTATAAACTTCAGTTGTCTTGATAATGATAACGAAAATGCTTCAAAATTTTCATACTTGAGATTTTTCTCTTAACATGTATTGTTGTCTTTTATGTAGAATATAGGCATTTTCCATATGTACAAAACAGTTGAAAATTCCCAATGTTATCTTTAAAGTTCAAGGGAAAAAATGTTACAATTTCCACCATATATATATTACTTTTGTTAATTAAAAACACTGTTAATTGATGTGTATTGTTATTGGTAAAAAGTGAATGTCTTTAATTGTCACAGGTTGTTCACCAAAACGAAAAAATAGCTAAAAAGTTAGAAAGAACCCCTTTCACAATTGATAAAAATTACTTTAATTCAGTGTATACTACTGGTATTTAAGTTAAAAAAATCTTGTCAAAACAAGGTATGTATATGTTTTATCTCAATAGATGACAGATATGCCAGAGGGCAGGGCACAAGACTGTCAGGGGTTTATATACTGTTAGTCATCATTCAAGTTGTAAAATAACATGTCAGTCAGATATGCTTTAGGTGTTTGTTAGCCATGTTTTAAAAGTTTATTTTATGAGCTTTTAAACCTTGTGACAGCATGGCCAAGTGGCTAACACATTGGACTAGTAGTCTAAAGATTGCTTGCTGTGTGAGTTCAAACCCCATCAGGGGCAAGCCATTGTTTCCTTAAGCAAGAAACTTTACACTAATTGCTTAGTATTGGTTGCTTCTAGGAACAGATTTTAAAGTGTATCTATAACCTTATAGCTTCCTACATAATTGAACTGAAAAAAATCTATATAAATCGTTGTTTCCTTTGAGTGGAAGAAAAAATTGGACACAATATTAGTAGTTTCTGTATTTTCTATATTTATGAATTTTTCAACTTCACTTACATGAGAAATATGTGAAATGGATTTGCCCTGCTTTGAATTTGGAAGAGTCAATTTTAAGTTTAAAGGATTTCATTATCAAAATACTAAAAATTAGGCTGCCAACAGTATTGGACCTGCTCAGACTGCATGGTTGTGCAATTTGGCTGGCTCTATACTGGTGGCAAAGACTAATATCTTCCTTTTCCTGCAGTTTTAAAATTTAAGAATCATTATTGGTTTAAGGTTATTAATTTTGATCTTCATTTTTTTAGTTGGAGTTTTTTAACTTAAAGTCTTTTTTTACTTTTAGATGTAGCAAGAACTACTTTGCCAGCCCCAAGAAAGAAAACACCAAGAAAACGACCTTTGACCCCAAATTATGAGTCACATTCAAACAAGAGGAAGCAGACACATTATCCAGTTGAGACTGGTTCTAGTCAATTGTTCAATAAAAGTATGTTTCAGTACCAGTCAAACATGAATACCAGTCCAGGGAAGGGAGGTAATTCTATTCATATGGAGGGAAGTAACTCTAGTCAGTTTACTGATAGAAATTCTAGTCAATGTGAAAGAGAGGTAAGCAAGATATACGTACCCAACGTACCGTTTATAAAGTCGGAGCCGATAGATGATTATACGCCGATGTCTGGAGATTACAGGCCGGTAACTACCAATGGAAACTCTCCCGATAATATGATATCACATGACACAGATGTTTCTCCAAATGAAGAATCTGCCAAGAACAGTATTGCGAACAGACCAACATCTCTGATTCCTTTAGCCAATATCTTCAAGAAGTATGGCACTAAGCCAATAAAAAATGAGCCAATGAAAACACCCGAATCCATTCCGGAAAGTCAAGACAGGGAAGACAACTTACCATCAGAAAAAAGTATCCTCCGTTCCTTGTACAATCAGCCTCTTTACGGACTCGAAGATAATAGCAGTGGTACTAATGACTTTGAAAATACAGGTCAGGTTGGGATAAATTTACCTTCAAACTTGGGCGAGAGTATGGATCAGTTTCCGTCCACTACGGAAAACCTTGTTCTGTCCGGTTACTACGACTCGGAAAGTTACCCTGCCTATCGCCATAACAAGAAACATCCAGCAAACAGCAGCTCTAAGAAATCCAAAGGTAGAGACAAAGCAAGCACCGGGAATACCTCTTCTTCTGCTAATCCAAGCTATGTGGACTCGTTAGTGAGTCCAGGAGGCTCTGATCTTAAGATGAGAATGTTCGAATCTGGTGGTAGACTCGTTTACGCTTGCGATGTGTGCAAGAGAGAGTTATCCCACCTGACAAGCTACCGTCGTCATATGAAGCTTCACACAATGGATCGGCCACACAAATGCCCAGTCTGTTCCAAGGGTTTTATACGCAAGTACCATTGTATCGATCATTTGAATAAGCATCACAAGGGCGTTGACTTTGATCACGATACACTGACTATACGTGGAAGCTCAAAAAGCTTAAACGAGTCGACTTCATACTCCGAATCTCTCAGCGTCTCACCAGGGGAATATAATTACACTTTGGATCAGTCCCTCGAAGAAACTGACCAATCAGTGAATGCCAGCGTTGACCAATCAGTGAACGCGAGCATTGACCAATCAATGAACGCCAGCATTGACCAATCAGCTTCTAATATGCTCTCCGAGCTAGCTAGATCTGCTCAGAAGGCACAACTTCTTCACCAATCGGAATCAGAGATTATCATCGCCCCACATTCAGAGCCGCTGGAACTGAACCAGTCAGAAGACGATACATTGAAAAATTGTCAGTTAGAGGGAATTGACTCGAAAACTCCCGAATCAGAAAGCAGCAGAAAAGAGAACGAGAATCCAGACGATGTTAAAGTCGTGAAAGAAAATGGGTCAGAGTTAGATGATCAGCCAATCAAAAGCTCCCTTGTAAAGCCTGAAAGCAGCTCATTGGCTAGAAAATATGAGGTCACTGAAGGGATTAAAGCAATCGTTGCTCACTTGAAATCTTCGTCGAAAAAGAAAAAGATGACGTCTGATCGTGAAATTTCTCCAGAATGTTTCAAAACTGAGGAAGAAGTATGAGATTGATACGCTGTTGTGTGTCAAGGTCGTACCTTTGAGAAGATATATATCGGAAACCCGTTAACGTTAAAAGTACAGTTTGAAAAATGAGGTGATTAAAAGCATTAGAAATCCTTAAAATATGATCGAGCTATCACTTTTGAACATGAATGTATACGTATTATGTACATAAAAGTAACAACAATTATGTGTTATGACCTTTGAAGATATTTTCGAGACAAAGGTCATGTGATGTAACTTGTAATGTGTATTCAGCCTTTGAATATATATAATATTATATTCAGCATTATTTTACAGATGGTGGTTATTCTTAAAAAAATGTGTTCATTAACATTATATTTAATGTATAAGATATTTGATGGGTTTTTTTTGCGTGTTTTTGTCGGAAAATTTTCGTGGAATATGTATACCTTTTTTTACGTTCAGCTAGTCATGTTGTTAATTAAGGTCATAGAGTGCACCTGTTTTAATTCTATATTGTCACCTTAGTGCAATAACTGATTAACTCCTATTAGATTTACCGGGTAGAAGGACTTAACCCGTACTTGCACTAATTGGACAATATATTCATAGTTTTCTTTATTGCCTTCAAGAATTTCTGTATTGTAATTAACATTATATGGTGGAAGGACAACGGTTTTTCCGAATTATCGCTCAGTCATGAAAATTTCAGTTCAGAGAATTTCCGCTTATAAACATACTATTAACAAATTTGAATTACCTGTTATAATCAGTTATTACATTACAGAATTTTATTTTAGGAATTCTAGGAATTCTGAAATTTGAAGACCAATGAAATACTTCTCAAGCTCTAAGACAACTTGAGCACAACTTAAATTTCTATTTAGAATCAAATTAGTTACATTTACGATAAACAAATTATGTGAAAAAGTTTATTTTGAAAACAACAACAAATTCTGTAATGATGGAAGTTGTATATTGACCATTTTGAGAAAATCGACTTCAAAAGTTTTGACAGGCTATATACTTTATATACAGCGTTTTGACAAGTTCAATATATGGCTACAGGTGAGAACCAGAGTGATGTTGTTCTCACCATTCGATAGTGCTAAAAATTACGAACCTTTTGATACCAACATTCATTCCGTCTGATTATGACCTGCACTGTTTGCTATTCAGTCAGAACAAATTTTGAAAATTTCTCCCCAAAGAAATGATCAATGTGTCACCTTAGTGCAATAACTGGTTAACCTCTATTAAATTTAGAAGGACTTGGCAAGTTACTGAACTAAGGAGACAAATGATTTTGTCATGATTGAAAGATTGGCGGGTCGGTTTATGATATGTAGGATGATAACGGATAAAGCCTTAAAGTAAAATGTATCATAACTTATATTAAAGCAGTATTATAATATATAATTCTAATATATCAATACCATTTTGTATCGGTTCTCGAAAAATTATGTCCTGCCACCAATGTGATGAATAACTTTTTTTTTGGGTGCTTAAATGTTTCATGCTACCTCAATGTATATCAAATGTGTGCTTTTTGTATCATCTAGCATTTGTTTTTTATCTAAACGTTAACATTTTATCAGGGGCCGTATGAAAGTTCTGTCTCATTTTCATCTAAGGGTGTTTAGTTTTGATACATTTTATACAACAAGTTCAGATTCAGATTCAGAAATGTTGAGGCATGTTGAAATTTATAACTTGAAATTTAAGCATTAGTTCTTACAATAAATAGAATTTCTTTTCTTTTCATGGAGTTAAAGAAATGTTTGTTACCCCACCCCTAATTGTTGAAATGTTGTTTCCTTCTCCCCCCTTTTTGTTTTCGTGACAGTAATTCTATTTTAAATTGATGGCAAACAAATATACAAATAGGTTGCACTCTAAAAACTGTTTTCCATTATAGATTAATTTAGAAAGTAGTAGACTTTAAGTTTCACTAGATATTTTTTTGTCAATTTATTAACCCTAACCCCTCCATCACCCCAACACCCCTAGTCGGGTTACTCTAGTCCATAAATTATATACATTTATATTGTTTTATTCTTAACATACTTGTACATTGTTATCAGGTTCTTCTGACTTATAAATTTTTTTTGAGAAATTGTATTATAATGAAATTTACTTTATTGTATACTCCAACCCCTCACACCCCTACCCCACTCTTTTTTTTGTTTGTTAGCATGTTTATATTTAAATCAAATTTTAATTTGTATGAAATTACATTATGTATCATAGCCTCATATATATATACATTGTACATCATTGTTTACATTATTGTTTATTATGCTTTCAAAGACACAGCTAAGGAGAAATTGATAGATATGTAATTTATTTGCTGGATTTAAGCTGAAATTTGTCTAAAATCTCTTATGAAACTCTCCAGTAACTCTGCAGAACCTAGGAATTCATGTTTGGATATCTGTTAAATAAATATGGCAGTAAAACTTTTACAAACTTGCTTCCATTTATCAATTAAGTAAAATATAGGGTTATAGAAATTTGTTTAAAAAAAGATAGAAAATAAGTCATTAATTGCTTAATAAATATGGCAGAAAAACATTTACAAACTTGCTTTAATTTATCAATTAAGCAAAAAATAGGGTTATAGACATTTGTTTATGTTGTTTTAGATAGAAAATAAGTCATTAATTGCTTAATAAATATGGCAGAATTTTTTTACAAACTTGCTTCCATTTGTGAATTAAGCAAAATTAGGGTTAAAAAATTTGATATGCTGTTCAAGATAGAAAATAAGTAAGTCATTTTTTGACTGATTTATTTGTTCTGTTGATATACTCAATTAGTTTAGAAAAATTTGATTTTTTATGTGAAAAAAAAAACAAAACTAGTCATTGTTCACTTTTACCATACTTTAGTTAAAGCAATATATATATATTTGAATACATACATTCTTTTCATTCTAGTCCATATACTTATATAATACTCTAAAATGTTTAAATTTTGCTATTAGTTTAGTCAGTATAGAACCATAAAGCAATTGTATTTATATAGTTATCAAATGTATAAAATCAAATATGTCTTAGTATTTATATTATATTAAGTGCTAAACGAAATTGTTACTTAGTTATTTATTTTCTTCTACAAATTTGTATACATTTTATTCTTACTTTTGATGTAATATTTTTCATGAAAAAGAATTTTAGGAGTTATTGCCAGAAAGTTTATACTCTCTTTTACTCTGAGTCTGCAGGCAGTAACTTGTTCTTCCAATTCAAGATATGTGTTGTCTGCTCGCGGTCCACTCATGGTCTGCACTATTTGCTATTCATTCAGTTTACTTATTTTGAAGTTTTACCTAAAAATGATAAATGGTTTTGTCCAGATTAAAATATTGACAAGTCAATTGAAGATAATTAGCATAGTAAGGGTTGATTATTATCTTGCCAGATTATTACTGCTGCAATACTCTTGTCTGAGTTTGTATGAAAATATATTTTGGTCGCATATTTGTTTAACAATTTCTATGCTTCACTGAATAATGTAGCAGATCATATACTAGTATTTTCATGTTTTGTCCTTGGGTCAAGGTCACTAAGGCTATAAATAGATTTGTCTTAGATTTCTTTGTATTAAGGTCAAGGTTTTTTAGCTACAGATCAGCATCTTTTAGGTTCACCTATTTCGATTCTTTATAAAGTGTTACCTGTCCACCCTGTTTACATATGTATAAAACTGGTTGGTATAAACATGTGCCTGCCATGAGGTTCTACCATATAGTGGGTTTTCAGGTCGCTTGTTTCAAGGTCACTGACATAATTTGTTTGGTCAGGTTTTTAGCTATTTGAAACTGATGTCTGGGAATACCTCTCACTTTTTTCCTACATCATGCTTTATAAAGTATTATCGATGTTGTTCTAACAATTGAGTAGTAACTTGTATGTTTATCAGAAGTTTATGTTGAATCTATATGAAATGTTTTTGATAACATTATACATGTACAATTCCTGATCCCTTTCTTTATTTACCATATATTTATGTATTGATGAAAGATTCAGTTAAGGGACAGCCGCTACTGTTATTCTGCTGGTAGCCTAATTAAGTTAATTGTAATTTGTTCATCCTTCAAACCTCCAGGTAGCATATTTAAGCAATTTTTTATTCATGACAATTTTGTTTGACAATATATCTAGGGCCTTTCATCCTCCACTTAGATTTTGAACATTGTAAATGAAGAAGTGGATGCAGATTTGCAATAAAAAGTAGTTTCACTTTGGTGAAAAATCAAGAAATACCTAGGTCACTAGAAAACAGATACTAATTTTGTGGGCTATGATTATTTTGCGGTGCTAGATTTGATGATGTTTGCAGTGAGGTATGGTATGTTATGTACCATGATATTGATGCAGAAGTTCATTTCTGTCCAAGGATTGTTTAAATATCATTTATCATTAATTTTTCATTACACTTTTTCTTTCTTTTTATATTGTTTACAAAAAGTTTCAACCCTATTGCAATTGATCTGTTATAAAAGAATGAAAGTTTTCATTTATAGCTTGTTTGTGAACTTTTGAAGTAAAAAGTGGAGTTTTGATCGCTGAGGCGTCATCGTCATGCAAAAACTGTATTTTAATTCATTAGTCAAACAAATTTAAAAGGTATCAATATGAAACTTTGATTGCTTGCTTATCATGACAAGTTACAGTTGTGTGACAAGGGACATCATTCTTTAAGCTATTTTTGGAGTTATGCCCCTTTTTAACGTAAAATTTTCAACAGACAAGTGTTTAAATCACATGTGGTGCTCTTATATAGCTTCATCATTTCTATGATGCGATATGACACAAAATGTATATAGAAAATCTAAAAAAAATACTGCTCACATATCTCCCACCTTAGTGCAGTAATGGCTTAACTCCTATTGAATTTTAATAAGAGTTAACCTGTTACTGCACTAAGGTGACAATATGTTTAATTAAATATGAAATATTTAGCATCTTTTGTCACGTGTCAGTAAAATTAGAAACTATGTACTTTTTATTTTGTATTATTATTCTGTATTATTGTATATACTATCCTAAAATTCATGACAACTTTTGAGTTAAGTTGTAAATTTGTACACATGAAGGGATGTTTAAAATATGTTTTGTGTAAATCAAGAATTTAATGAAATCAAATTTTTTGTACATATACAAATATTTTATTGTAAAATGTAGATAATTTATGTTATTTTTTTGTTGGTTTAACTGTACACTATCGTAACTGTACAAGCATTAAGACTTACACACCTCCAGATTTTTATATAAATCACATTAAAGAAAAATTTATCAAGTGATTAAAGATTATATAATTACTCCAATATTATATAAGTTGTAATATTGATTAAAAAACTGGAGGCGTGCAGCTTTTAATTTTATTAAGAATATTCAGCATAAACTGGAGGGTCAAGGCTTTAAAAATGTTAAAAAATACTCCTCATAAGACTGGAGGCGTGCAGCTTTTAAAAAATTTCAAAAAGTATTCATCATAAAATTTGAGAAGTGCAGCTTTAAATATTTTCAAAAATGTTCATCGTAAAAC